CGAGAATTTGGAGAAGAAATATTTCTCACATTCCATCTGAATATTTGATTTTATTATATTTATATTTCGTTATATTTCGTTATATTTTATTATATTCATTATATTTATGTTTCGTTATATTTCATTACGTTCATTATATTGAAATATTTCTAGTTGAAAAATACATTTTGTTAAAAATATTTTTATTTGATTTTACTCTATTTAAATGTTGAGTTTTATTATATTTCATTATATTCATTGCATTTAAATATTCTTAGTTGAAGGATAATATTTTATTGTACATATTGTGTTGTATTGTGCTGTACCTTATACGTCCTGCTGTTCATTTCCGTTATCTTGCGTCGCTTTAAATGTAGCAGAATTTTTATGCTTTCGCGAAATTTCCCGGTCGCGACTGCTCGACTTTATTTAATGACACATCAGTTTGTTCCAGGGAGTCATTTTATCTTTGTAGCGAACGGTACGCGGAGAATGAAATTCTCAGAAAGACCCGCACGTATTATACACGATACAGTATGCGCGTATCTTTTCCCTAAATAATTATCTATACTAGGAAATAATATAAACTTCATTCTTATGGAATGACCTAATATTGCTGAATTATCTTGGCAACCAAAATATTACAATATTTTTACCTAAATTCTTTATGTATGAAGCAAAGATCTACGTAAAAAAATTTTTTAAACAATGGACATCCAAAAGGAAGTCGTTAAATTTTCACGAGAATCAATACGAAATTATACAGATAAAAGTTATAAGCGTAAAGTAGTTAACAATGTTAAAAAAGAATGAAAATCCAAAGCAATGTTATCAAATATTCACCAGAATCGAAACAGAATTTTATAGAAGAAAGTTTCAAAATCAGTATCCAATGTAGCTAGTTGCCAACATAAGGGTTAAATCGACGAATTGTAGGGGCGGAAGTGTTAGAATTCACCGGAGAATCATCCGCCAGAGCGGATGAACACCGGAAACCTGATTTGCATCGTTGAGTGTTTGCCGCGTTACACGGTTTCGTCCCTCGAAATCGGCAGATCCGCCGTTTCCTCTCCATGTGACCCGCGCATCGAATGTCGTATTTAATATTAATGCGGGTGCAGCGCAGCCTGTGATCGATCGCAATTAAGCCGTGTACGTGACACGTTGTTCCACGGCCGATCCACCGTAAACCACAGCAGTTAAAAGGCTGAAACGTAAACCACCCCTGGCGAGCTTTATTTATCGTACGCGCGCGCGCGCGCGTCCTGTGATTTTCAATAGGCGCGACACGTCCTCGTCGCAACGTGCTCGAAACAACATCGGGATGTATCTGAGCCGTTCATTTGTCAAATTGATTGACTGCACAGAAAGAAATGCAGAAAAATTGAATGAAATTCCATAAACGAAAAAGGGAGGAAGTATTACAAGATTAGAATTTTAGAATGTTTGGAAAGTGGAGTCAGTTATTTTGATCCTTGAGCAATTCGTGTAGTTCTTGTTCTTTCGATTGTGTACCTGATGTATAGTATTCGAGACAATGGTGAAATCGTGGAAACTAAGTAACTCTGCTCGCTGGAAAGATCGCTGGCGTTTAACATATTTAGAATGGGTAACGGGGTACCTCGGATCTTGTACGTGGTTTAAGAAGTAAAAATCTTGTAAATAATACTCACTTCGATGATGTACGTAACTTTCAAAATATTCCTTGGAGTTCAGTATTTAACGTAACTATGATTCCTAATATTAGGCAAATCGCAGCGTATGATATTAAAACTTTAGACCAGTCATAACATAAAACATCAGAAGTTTACTCAGATCAATGACTCAAACTATTAGAACTTTGGGCAAATCATAACTGATGTCATCAGAAATTTCACCAAATCCCGACTCGAAATATCCAAAATTCACACAAACAACTAAAAAATATTGAACACAACAGAGAGAAGAAGATCCTCTCATTAAAACCCTAAAGCAAAGCCAATCCACTCAACCATAACAATTATAATATCAATATTCCACATAGAACAACCAAGCAGCTCCAAAAAGAACAAACCAAAAGCGAACAAAAGCAAACAAACACATGAAAAATACATTATTCCAATACCGTAACCCAAGAGTAACAATCAGATCAGATACACAATTCCCCAGATCATAATCCAAGGAAAAAACTGCTGCGGACTCTCCCTATCTCCGTCGTCCGTTTATTACAAAACATAATTCCGGCGTCGGTAGCCGTGTTCTCCGGCGTGTCCCCTAATAACGGTGAAAGTCGTGTCCCGTAGAACCATAGAAAGAAAAAAACCTCTGATACCGAGAGTCGGAAATCTAAACACGGTAGCCGAGGATCGATGAACCGAGGAACAAGCGAGCGAGCGAGCTAGCAATCGTTGGTTTCCTCTCGCCTCCTTACCTCATCGCATCCAGCCATTTTTCGTCGGTCCAATATCGGAGGCGTTTCCCGAATTGCGCGCTCCACCGTTTCCTCTCTGTTTCTTTTTGTCGTCTAGTCTCTCTTTTTCTCTCTCTTTCTCTCCTTTTCTCTCATTCTCGTCCGAGGTATATCGGTAATATAGCACGTTCCATAGACCAGTCGGTGCCTGCCTTTATATCCGCGCGTTCCCAGAACTTTGATCGCGTTCTCCTTCCTCCACGAAATTTCTAGACGTCGGGACCTTTTTTTTTCCTACGACCGCAACGGAGGCTGATGGAGCGGGTGCCGAACGAGGTCGGGTTCGAGTCAATTTTCGCGGCGATTGTTCTTCGTAACGGGACATTGTAAATTGTTATTGTAATTTCACAGTATGTAGCTTGATGGACGCGTTACTTTCATGTTTGTCGGATTTTGCGAAATTTATACCGATTCTGTATTGATTTTGACGAGTTCGATGAATTTATAGAGACGTGTATCGTAATTGGTTACTTTTAAACTTCTAGTTTGTATGATCTGAATGGATGTATTAGATTCTGTAGGAATGTCGACGCCAGGGTGTTTCAAACAATTGAGATTCGGAGGATTCAAAATTTTGAAAAAACGTGAGGAATCGTGTGGAAGAGAATTGAAATATGATTGTGAATGCAAGGGTTAATGATCTTCTAGAAGTTGGAAGAAATTTTTCATTCATTGTAAGGGCTTTACTTTGAAAGTAATTATTGGTGATCGCAAAATAGACTTTCATTTCGATCTATGCGCAATGGACCATTGTACAGCAAAGGAGTAAAATATCTTGTATAAATTTTGTATTTTTAAAGGACAAATCGATTTCGAAGCCATCACTACTAATTCAAGAATCATGAATTTCGATTCAATTGATTCACTTGAATTTATTAAATTGCATCGATATGTCTTTGAGTGTCGAACAGAAACATCAAATGGATTCTATAAGGATTAATTAAATCTGCTTCATTTCGATTGAGGTAGATTGCGATCAGAAAATTCTCACAAAAAAGACATAAAAGCTATTTGTAAAAATGACTTATGAAAGCAAATGCAAATAAAAACAATTAAATAAGCTTCTGTGCAAAATTCAACACACCACTAAAAACAATTAAAAATATAGATATTTCGCAGTCTCAGTGAAATCTGGTCATCTAGCTCGAAATCAACCTATATATAATACAAAGGGAAAGTTAAGAATTTATTGCTAGAGTTGGAATTCGCAATAATCCCTTAACACTTGTTCCGTCACCTGCCTCGCCAGGGGAAGCAACAAATAATTGCCACGTGTTCCCATTCCCCCAGTGTCTCAGCGCGACTAATTTTTTTCGTTTGCCTTTCCGCCAGAAGTTCGCGTAATATTTCACGGCGATTTCTATCGCACCCCAAGCAAGCGACTAGCGTCGCTGGCCTAGGGTGCGAAAGAGAACCGCCAACAATAAATTATCACGCCATTAAGTCATTTATGACGCGGCTATACTTCTCCTCCAGCTCGTATTAGTGCACCTTCCTCTCGTTCGAGGAACGATTTCCCGTTTTATTG